TATTATCAGGTGAAATGTGGTTAATGTTTTGCTCCATTTCAATTTTTTTAGCACAATTTGCACAGGATTGAAAAGGAATAATTGAAATAATTCACAACACATAATATTTGAGTAGCGAAATCATCTTTTAATAAAACGAAATTATTTTAGACTTAAATTAAAATCGTTAAATCCTAGTGAAATTCATTTCCAAAAAAGGAAATCGTGCGTTAATAATTAGCGAGTTGATTAATCAAATTATTAATATTTTTTCTCATTCACGTAAACATAAATCGCAACCAAATAATTACAACGATCACAATGCGCCTACCAATCATACAAGAATTGGGCGTGTTCGAAGATAGTCTTCCACTATATTGTCAAAGTAAATATCAGCGTTGAGTAACTTGAGGTTTTTATAAAAATTTACTAAATAACTTTTTCTTTATCTAGTAACAGACCTAACGTCTATGGTTGATGAATATGCCGTTACCAACCATATAGGAATAGGGCTCGTCAAAAGTAAATAGCGTTTAGAAACTTTTAGAAATTATGATAGTTTTATAAAATTAATTAAATAACTTTTTCTTCATTTAGTAACAGACCTGACGCCTATGGTATGGTCACCAACCATACAGGAATAGGACGTCTCTAAAGTAAATAACGTTTAAAAACTTTTTAAGAAATTATTGATAGTTTTATAAAATTACTAATTAATTATCATTTAATAATAGTTAGTAATTTACCTGACGTCTATGGTTGACCAGTATGTGGTTACCAACCATACAAGAATTGGGCGCCTAGAAGATGGCTCCATTGTTGGTTGTTGATGAAGCAAAGTACTTGGTAAAGCATATTAAGTCTCGACGTTAATAATAGTGTTGAACAGGATATGTTTGGTGGTAACAATATGTTGGAAATTTAAATTATGAAGATTGCTGTTGGCAAAGGAGGATCATGATGATCATGATGCAGTCTTATTAATACAGCTTTAGCAAACATTTATTTTATGTAGCGATTTAATCTTGTAGTAGTTACTAGATGCATACTGAGCAGGGTTTGGTATGGTTGTAACAATTGGAACTCGGGATGATAAGCGGTTTTAAACGGTCCTTGATTATATTTTACTTTCTAATGATAATGTATTAATGGAATATTTATTAAAAATTAATAATAAAAACTTGTTCGGGAATCCCAACTTAACGGTCTCATGAAATTTCATTTTCCTTATAAGTTATTCATAAAATTTATTATAGAAATTTTTAACAAGAATTACTTATTATAGATAGGCGATTAGACATAACTATAAATTTCTAAACTTGTTTGACCGTATAACATTCTTAGTTGGAACAATGCTTGGGTCACGAAAAAATGTACAATACTGGTGTAAAGGTGGGTGATAAAAGAACAATGCAATTTGTTTGGTTCCTTTGCTATTTTGCTTTTGCAAGAGGAGAAAAAGTTTTGTTATTTAATGTCGCTAAAAAAATATTTAAACAAATAATTGTATTAGTTTGTTGATTAAAGCAAAATCGAATTTGACTTTAATAATCTTTATACTTCGTTTTATTTCCGCTTAATTATATTAAATAATGGTAAATTATAAAAGTTCTACTAAGTATTGTAATATTTTGTGATACATTTATTAGTAACATCAGAACATATAATTTGAAACAATTCAATTTATTCATATTAGTCACTACCTAAGTCATCATCATTAGCATCACCCAATAATACTTCACCATCAATAAAAAAAATGATCAACTCAACCACTGACGAAATAATCATTATACATATAACTAGAACAATTACTACAAGCTTGAGCTGGTACTTTCACTGGTAAAACTTAAAATTATAATGCTATCTGGTTCAATGATTACAGCTCATTGCAGTATAATCTCAAACTTAATTTAGCAATTACCATCATCATCAATATTAACTCCTTAATATCAATCTAAAATTTCTTATATAGGAATTTCTTAATTAATTGAATATAATGTATTTTATGAATTCCCAGTGGTTTAATCAGAGATTATTTAAGAACTAATAAGTGAATATTTTGATGATCCAGTAGATAAGTAGAATCTGCATAAAAAAGTATTATATTATATTTAAGATAATCATAATAAATCAAAATATTTAACCAATTATAATAAATTAGTATTAGCTTAATAATACAATAATACTTATATTATTTGATAATTTCAACAATTCATTTCTGTAATTTCATTTATGCTAAACATTGATAAGTCTTCCACTTTAACATTATAAGTTAAGAAGTATTTTTTAAATCTTAGCTTTTCTTTCATCATAATTATCTTATTAATAAATCTGTAAAACTTAATTAAATTAATATCTCATTTAGATAATACATTTATTGAAATATCTTCTAAACCTCTTACTATCTCTTGCAATTAATCCTTTTAAATATTTTAAATTAAGTTGTTAAAAACTTTTCTTTTTAGTAATTAGACAAAATTTATTCTATTATAATAATATTAAAGGTTAGCTATAAGGTGGTTGTTTTATATAACTTATCAGGATAGTTAGTAATTCAATAATTCAGATTAGCTTTAAAGTAGCCAGAAGGGGCTTATTCTGTAATATTAAGACATTATTTATAAATAATTTAATTTATTAAACTGAATAACTGATTATTAAAATATTAAAAAAAATTTTTATAAATAAAAAAATCTCTTTTTTTCTTTTCTATCTAACTTCTAAAATTTTAAAATTTTTTATATTTTACAAACTTTATTAGTTAATTTTATAGTTCCTTACATTTTACTATACTTTTATTCTTCAAAAAAGATTTTTTATTAAAATTACTTTTATAAAAATAAGAAATAATAAAAATAAAAATATCTGTATCTTTACTTTTAATTTACTTAATAAATTTTATTATCCCTTAAAGTATAGGTATAAATTAGTTATAAAATATTATAGAAAAATTATAATATTTTAATATCTAGTGATTATAAACTAATAAAATAAAGTTTATTAGATTTGTTATATTAAGGTCTATCTAATGATAGTATTTTAAATTTTTAAACTTAATAATTATTAATATATATTAATTTTTCAATTTTTCAATTTTAAAATAACTTATTATCTAATAACTACAAGAAATAAAATTTAGTTTATTGGATTTATCTCATTAAAACTTATTAAATGATTTTTTGAGATTAATAGATAGCAAGTTATATAAGTTTAAATATTTAATTTTTTTTTATAATAATTTATCATATATTTATCTTTAAAATATCACTAATTAATTACTTTTTTTGAATTTTTACTTAGAAAATATCATAAAATTTATTATAAAAATATTAATTTTTAAATAAATTATTTTAAAAATATTTAAAATTATTATAAATAATCTTAATTATTAAATAAAATTGCAGGTAAATTTGCCTGTAAAATGCTTAAAAGAATATCTAATTAAAGTGATTTAATTAGAGACTATTAGTTTTATTTTTATTTTTGTTGAATAACTTAAATTTTCTTTAATCTCTGATAAGGATACTATTGAAATATATAATTTGAATGTTTTACTCTCAATTAAAGTTGCTAGATAAAATCTAAAGGTTTTGCAAGTCATCTAAATGAAAAAGATAAAATATAATGAAATTATATTAAAACCTTATTAAAAATCTGCAAAATTCTGAAAAAGTAAAACTATATCAAAGCTTATAAAAATGTGAAACTATATCAAAACTTTAGTAAAAATTTAGCAAAACTATAATTTAGATGTTTTTCTAAATTTAAAATAAGTTTAAACAAGCAACCTTATTTATAATATTCTTAATACTGATGAATACATCTATTGATAATAAAATACTTATAAAACTAATAACCAGGATTATATTATCATTTTACTGTCTACCCTTTTTGTATATATTAAAATTATTGTAAAAGACATTAAAGATTTTATAATTTTAAAATTATTTGTGATATCAACAACTTGTTTATTAAAAATGATATATTCAATTTAATGTATAAATTTAGTCTAATTAGTAATTATTTATTTTTTAATAATGAGAAATCTATACAGGTTATACTTCTTATAAAATTTAGCTATTTAAAAATTAACTGTTTTTTAATTACGCAACTCATAAAAAATAAATGCAATTTTAACAAAGAATTCTTTATATAATTAATTTCTATTTAAATTTAAAGAAAAATTTATCTCATTAATTTTCTCTAAATATAACATTATTATAAATATCTACATATATATTTATAGTTTGTAACAGTATATATTTATTACATATAATAACTTTAATGCTATTAAATTATTTTATATCTTATGATTTTATTATATTTGCAATGATTGTATATGAGTTTATTTAGCCTATTTCTCTTCAGTATAGATCAAACAAAAAATAATTATTGCATTAAATTAACTAATTTCCTTTTAGCACTTGTCGAAATAGTTCAAATTGACTAGAAATTAGATAGCTGATTTTAGGTTGATTTTGATACTATTTACAGCTGATTTGCTATGTTTTCTGATTAGTAAAAATAGGTGCTGATAGACATTGATTAACTCCAATCAGACATAGCTATTTAGCATCAATTTAGAACTTAAATTTAATCATAAATCAGCTTAAAATTGGCTTCAATTAGGCAACAATTTAGATGCTAATAGATGTTGATCAACTTCAATTGAACATAATTATTCAGCATCAATTTAGAACTTAAATTCAACCATAAATCAGCCTAAAATTGACCTTAATTTAATATCATTTAGCATTAATTCAGAACTTAAATAACTATAAATCAGCCTAAAATTAACCTTAATATAGCAACATTCAGAATCAATTAAGAACTTAAATAATTATAAATCAGCTTAAAATTAACTTTAATACAGCATCATTCAGCATCAATTAAGAATTTAAATAACTATAAATCAGCTTAAAATTAGCCTTAATGATATATTGTTAATGTGCAATCCTTGTAAATTATAACAGTTAGACAGAATGCTTGAATAGTAATTCTTTTAGGTTTACATAGTGATTTAATTCAGTTTAATTTAAAACAATATATTTATTTGTGATAAGAAATAAATAAGAAATAAAGAAATAAGAAAATAAGAGAATAAGAAAAATTAAAGAGTTAAAGTACTAAATGCAAAGGTTAAGCCAAACGCCTCTAAAAGAACTATTAAATGTGTATCTAAAAGTAAAACTAAAAGGAAAACTAAAAGTAAACTAGAAGCGAACTAAAGTTTATATGATTTTATCATTTTCTATTTATATAAAATTAACTACATAGGTGGATATAACAAATAAATTAAATATATCTAATATGTTTAGTATATTCATTATGTCAAATATATCAAATATATCTGATATGTTTAACATTTAGATCTACAATATACTGCACTACTTCATCAATCCAATCCAGTTACATTACTTATCGCTTAAGATTTCTGCTTCAACAGAAAGATTTAAAGCTTCAATTACCAGGGCTTGATATTCAGTAGTTTTCAAATATTGAACCATCGTCAAGGTAAGTGACTGAGTATTAAGATTCGTTAAACTCTAAGATTTTTAAAAAATAAAAGACTCGTATAGCAGTTCGATAATAATGCGTAATAATAGTAGAGGCCTGTAAGGTATATTGAGTGGAAGTAAGAGTT